TTGTTTCATTTCAATATTACACATACATTATAACTATATTTCAAACATAAATTACCTAGTCATAATAGAGCTCTCGTAAACAATATAAGCCGAAGAAAATTATCTTTTTTTTTTTCATGATTTTTTTCGATTATGATGATTTTTTTTATTTAGTAGGAAGCTTTCAAATACTCATAGATTTAAAACACTATATCTATACAACAAATCTTCCGATTAATTTTTCAATTTAAATTTAAATTCGTATTTGAGGGTTTATCGAGGTACGACATACAAATTTCAACTTTGTTTCTCCTTGATTAATTAAATAATTACTCCTACGGTGGCTACAAATTATTTCTTTTCGGAAATAATTCTTATCAATTTCAATGATTTTTAAAAAATTTTGTTGGGAATTCAGGAAGCTTTCAAATAAATATGAGTATTATTATGGGTGGGAGCCATCATTTTAAAGATCTTCTTCTCCTTCAAGTGGGAAAAATAGTCAAATCTACCTGAAATTTCAGTGAAAATGAAAAAACTTGTGGATATTTATTGAGCAATAATTCAGCTTTCTAGTGCTTGTAGTAACTTTTAATAATTGAATTATATCTTATGTAGGTTTTTTATGAGATTTTTCCTACTGTAAAAAATGAATTTCAATTTTCTAAGTAGTATTCAAACCACCATTATGTCATGTGTAAGGTTACTGCAACCATAAACTTGTAACTTATCTGTATGACATGTAATGTATAAAAAAAAAAAAAAAAAAAAAAAAAAATTAATTAGGAGGAAATCCTAATGAGCTATATGAATGTTTTAGTAAACTGTACGGAAAATAATTCTAATAAAATGTTACTTTGGCACCAGTTCAACAGATAACTACTATCATATTTTAATTAAATATTATTTATCAAAACTGTTTTTGTCGGTACGCCATATCATTAAATCATTGAATACGGGCCACTATTAGCTGAGGTTCAGGTTATTGTAATTCGTAAACATTTTGGTTTTATAAAACAATGATATTTTATAATAATGATCAAAATGACTGAAAAATAAAAAATATTTTAATTTAAAAAAAAACAGACTAAAGAAATTGGAAAATACTATTTATTATTAAGGGTAAATACTTCCATATCTACTGAAACATTTTGGTATAATAATAGAGAAATTGACATCTAAGAATATTTAAACTTGGTGTAGTGGTCGGGTACCTCTCACTACACAATACAGCTCTAGGCAAATATATTTCGTCCCATGTATCGGCTCATGTCAACATCCGAAAGAGTCTGGAGTAAGATGTGATAGGAACCCCACAACAACAGTAAGTTTAAATATCTGTAGATGTTTCACTATCAATCTATCAAAATGTTCAGTAGATATGGCATTACATTCCCTCAGCGTGGATAAAATTTCCCAATTTCTGTAGTATTAATTTTAAATTTTTTATAATTTATTTATTTATTTTTTATTTTAATGAAATTTACAACTGTATTACATAGAAAATACAATAAGTAAATGTGACATTGGTAACATGACATGTACAACATGAAGACAAACTACCCATTGGTAGAACTCAAATTAAAGTTCTATATTAGAAGGTCCCGAGGCCATATTCTTTTCAGACGCCTCGGAGGGTTATCAGGGATCGGGGAGGAAGAAAGGTTTGAAACGAGAGGATTCGGATGGTTCTGCAGTTTGTTATGGAAGGATAGGTATCTGGATTGGGCCAAATCGGAAACATATGGAACATTAAGGTCTTTATGGATTATTTTATTTGTGACAAAGTAAGGAGCGTTGAGGATTTCACGAAGGATTTTGGATTGTAAGGATTGGATACGAGAGGAATTCGATGGTTTAGTGGAGCCCCAAAGCTCAATTCCGTAAGTACTAATAGGTCTTATTATTGTCATATATATGAGTCGTTTGTAATTGATTGACAGCTTAGAGCGTTTGTCTAGTAAGTGCTGCAGTAGTTGAAAACGTCGGGCGGTTTCTAGTCGTTTCAGTCTGGTATGGGTTTTTTTAAAAATTAAAATATATTTTTATTTTTCCATTTTTAGTTTTTAAAATGACGTCTAACTTGAAATCCTCATACCAGACTGAAACGACAAGAAACCGCCCGACGTTTCCCACTACTGCAGCACTTACTTGACAAACGCTCTAAGGTTTCAATTAATTACAAAGGACTCATATATATGACTATAATAAGGCCTATTTGGACTTAAGAAATTGAGCTATGGGGCTCCACTAAACCATCGAAATCCTTACAATCCAAAATCCTTCATAAAATTTTCCATGCTTCTTACTTTGTCACTAATAAAATCATCCATAAAGACCTTAATGTTCCTCATGTTTCCGATTTGGCCCAATCCAGATACCTATCCTTCCATAATAAACTTCAGAACCATCCGAATCCTCTCGTTTCTAGCCTTGCTTCTTCTTCAATTCCTGATAACACTCCGAGTTGGTAGTTTCTCAACAAGTTTTTTTCATGTTATTGTTTTCTGTTATCACATTTCCCTATTGTATTTTTTTTTCTGAATACAATTGTAAATATCATAAATTAAAAAAAAAATAAGAACGTTTTTAAAATATTAACAACTAGCAGGCCCGTGTAAAAAAATCGCACAGTATATTGTTCAGTAATCAAATGCGAAATTAATAAGAAAATTATTCTCACGAGCCAACTAATAAATATAATATCTCAAAAGTATTTTTTTGTCGGTACACCATATTCGTTAATATTTTATCAAATAAAATGATTGGGACATCATTGTATAGATTATTTTCCACTTTAGGTGCGAATAATTCAACTCCAGAAAAGTCAGTAACAAAAAAATTATGAAGAAAAGAAAAATGAGCATAACTCTAAAAGAATACAATGTTAAACATTGTAATATGAATACTAATTTGAAAGGTTTCGAAACTACTTACAAAACGAAAAAAAAAATCTTCGATAATGGACCATTGTTAATAAACTAATTATTTAATAACTAATTATTAGTTAATAACTAATTACCATTGTTAATGAAATTAATTATTTTCAATAATGAATCACTATAACATATATATATGTTATAGTGATTTTATATATATAATATATTTAGTTAGGTTATGTATCTTATCACTTTTTATTTATTTAGAGTTTTTAGACATTTCTAATATCGCAAAGAGAATGTTGAGTGTATTTTTTTTTTCAATTCAATAATTGTGAGAATAAAAGGTTATCTTTAATTTAATCTTTTCAATGGAAAAATCGTAAGCGAAATATCACACAAAATTAATTAGCCACATTGTTTCATTCTTTGGTTCTATTTGATAAAAAAACAAAAAAGTATGAAAGAAAGAAAGTATAAAATGGTCTATTGTTTAAATCTTTTGGTCGTGATAATTCTTTATAATTTTTTTGATATTTTTTTTTAATAACTACTTTATTCTAAATAAATGAGCTTAGGGTAGAAATCAGGTGGTGCCGAATTTCTTTTTTTTTTTTTTTATCGTAAAACAAATATATTTTACTAGTTGGCCCGTGCGAAAAATTCGCAGAAAATTTTGTTTAGTGAAGAAATAGTAAAACAATATGGAAATAAGTAGTTCTTATGTATTATGTAAGGAAGGAATTAATATTTTTTCCTTGGTCGATTACAATATTCCATTAAACATAATTGACCAAAATATTTATACAGATTGCTTTGCTAGGACCTATTTTTAAACGCTGACTGGAAAGATAATGAAATATTACCACGATAATAGGATATTCTATATTATTAAAAAAAATAAAATGTAAGAACAACCAAATGTCTTAAGAAATAATTAAGTTAATATAAAAGCCAGGAAAAAAAATGTAATAGACTATTCTACTCCTAAATGCAATATCTTTAAACAAGAAGGCATTATTAAGTATACCGAAACTAATGAACTGTATCTGTGTTAATAATTGTCCGAAATTTACGATTTTTTGTTTGTTTTGTAGGTAATTTAGTAATTATCATGAGTATAATCCAGACAAAAATGCATACTTTTTGAGTTATTCGCAAATAAAGTTTCTTTTCCTCCATAACTTTTTTTCCATAACTATTTTTCGCATGTGAAGGAGTAGAATATCTTCAAAATGAGTGGTCAATCGTTGGATTTGATGAAGAATTGACGAAGTTATGGCGTACCGACAAAAAAATACCTTTTAGAAATAATAGGATTTATTTATTTTTCTGATATTAATTCATTTATAATAAAATGATTTAATATTATGAAACTTGTATTTGATTCCAAATATATTACCTACATTACTGTTATAATATACTTGGATTTTAAATGTTAAGGTTATGTACCATTCGACAGTCTCTTATTTTATCTTAAAATTTGAGGTTTCCTTTTCTACAGTACGATTCATTACTCCATAAAATTCAAATATTAAATTATAACATTAACAATTCATTGGTATAAAATAATATTTATTGTCATGATAATTAATGCAATTAATACACTTTATACTTGTTATTTTAAAAATTAATAAATATTGTTTTGTGTCTGGTTATCTAATTTTTGTTTTTAATTCGCTATCATTAAAGTTATAAAATTTTATATTTAATTGTTTGTATTAAATTAAAACAAAGTTGTATATAACCTGTACATTTTAGAAAACTATAAAACAGTTTATTAAATATTTTTTTTTTTTAGTTTCGGGAGTATAATAAAACTCACGATAAAATTAAATTTAAATAATTCAAGTTTGTTATATACCAAGTTAAAAAATCATTTGTCGGCCTTTAACCAATGATACCGTGGTTGCCGGCTGTATCATTCTCGATTATAGCGTCGCTGGCTCAAATCCGGCCTGGGCGGATTGAAATTTATTTTATGATGGATTCATGGAATGAATCTCGGGCTTCTCGCTACGGTTAATATAAGAGTAAAGGAGGAACTTTCTATGCTAGAGCAATTGGAATATTAACGAGCCTTCGAGGAATTTATTCTATATAATAACTTAATTATATTTATATATTATTATTTCGACTTACCATCTGTCTCGTGATGGTCTAGCTGAAGGAGAGACGTCACAGAGAACCTCCTGGAGTTCTCGGTGCCCGGGAGGTACGGCTCGTAGTCCAGACCGTGCATGACTGAGTGCAGGCGTGGCGAGGGGGCGTGGCCTAGCCACCCCCACTCGTTTAGGCCCCGCCCACTCCTCGTTATCACATCCATCGCTCGGCTGCTTAAGGTCTACTCACATCAAACACTGATTGAGTGGCGTTTGCTTTATTGCTTACTTTGTTGCTTGTCTATTTGAAGCGTCGTGACATTACAACTACTTTGTTATCTTCAAGTTTATTTATTGGCAGCCAATTTTACACCAATTTTGTCAACTTAATGACTACCACTAGCGGATCCAGGATTTAATTTTGGGGGGGGGGCTTCAGCCCGGGAGATTTTTTTTTCATAAAAATAACGATATTTACTTTGGTAAAACAGAAAGAAACTAACTATCTATATGAAATGGTGTTTAAGTGATTCCTTAAGTCCTTTTAAATGTAATTAAACCAACAATAATACTTTAAGAGGTATTTTTTAATTTTTCCCCCATAAAACGTGGTTATGTTTTACCATTTTGGGGGGGGTGGCTTCAGCCCGAAAGCCCCCTCCCCTTAGATCCGCCCGTGATGACTACACATCTAATTACGACGTTTCGGCTCGTTGAGCCATTTTCAAGTATAAAAAAACATCCAGGTCATCAGAGTCCAATCAACTAAATAACACTACTTTTACAATGTCTAGGTGGTTGGTAAAAAAAATTAATAGAATAAAATAAATAAATAAAGATAATAATAGACTCTTATGGATAATACGATAGCAATACAATCAATAAATGAATTAAAATTAATAAATAAATGAACTTTTAAAATTAAAAAAATAATAATAAATCTGCAAAGGATCATTAGTTATAAACTTGTCATATATGTTTTTTAAGTCTATCATTGTTCGGGAACTTGATAACTTTGGTAATGATTTCTTCTTGATTTTCCAGGGATGCTGATATATTCTGGAGTATTCCGAGATCTTTTAATTTTGCGGTGTAAAAAGGGCACTCTTCCAAAACATGTTTAGTAGTTAATGACAATTCGTAAGTAGAAAATCGCGGTATATATAAAGGGAACTTGTCCAGTGTACACGAAATCCACTATTCTCGGAATCTCATTTATAGTGTGTTCATTGGGATCCTGGTCCACTCGCCAAAGTGGAGTGACATTTGCATAATGCTACAAACGAAAGGACTTATTTTCCAACCCAATTCTAATGATAATAAAGTAGTCACTCTATATTTCTCCAATTCTTCTTCGGTGCATACTATTTATTTTCAAGTTTATTTATTGTCAGCCAATTTTCAAAATTTTGTTAACTTAATGACTACACATCTAATTACGACGTTTCGGCTCGTTGAGCCATTTTCAAGTCTAAAATTTTTTTTTACAATTTACAACCCTATTCAAAACATTACATACTTCAACATATAGAGATTCTTTTTATATACCTAAATACCAATCATGTTTCCTGTCCTTACACTGGCGGATCTACGGGGGGGAAGGCTTTCGGGCTGAAGCCCTCCCCCCAAATGGTAAAATATAACCAGGTTTTATGGAAAAATATATTAAAAAAATATGTCTTTAATTATTATTGTTCGTGTAATTACATTTAAAAGGACTTAAGGAATCACTTAAACACCATTTCATATAGATAGTTAGTTTCTTTCTTTTTTTCCAAAGTAATAATCGTCATTCTTATAAAAAAAAAAAAAAGGTTTCGGACTGAAGCTCCCCCCTTCCAAAAAAAAAAAAATCCTGGATCCGCTAGTGTGTCCTTATAAATTATTTTAAAACCGAAAATGCAGTAAAACAAAAACCTTCCATGAACCATATACATGACATTAAAACACAAAATGAAAAATATAATAAAAACAAACAACAACCTAAAAAATATTTTAGCGTCACATATATTAGAAATTTAACGGACAAAATAGAAACAATATGATATAAATGAAATTAAATTTGTAATCAAACCTATTAATAAAATAGATACAATTTATTCCAAAACTAAAGATAAAATACCCACCGATAAATTAACGAATATTATTTATAAAATAAATTGTAAAAATTGCAACAACAAATCATATTTTGGACAGACATCACAATGGTTTGAAAAAAGACTTAAACAGCACAAACAAAATTGTAATTCAAAAAACACAAAAATTAAATTAGCTACTGGGCTCTCTCAGCATACTATGCAAACAAAACATGAATTTGATTTCAAAAACGCCAAAATCCTACATAATGAAAGTAATATGAATAAACGTAGAATAAAAGAAGCAATATACATAGCTAAAAATTTAAAAAAACTCTGTAAATAATCATACAGACGTGGATAATATGAATACCTTTTACGCGAGTTCGATTGAAAAAATAAAAATATGAAATGAATTAGCTAATTTTACTTAAAATAAGTCCATATATAATATTGGGAAACATCATTGTATATGTTTAAAATAAATAGTCTTCCCCTACTCCTTTAAGAATAACCAGTCACGAACTAGAAATGAGGCTGATGAGATGTCGGTGACACATTATAAGGTAATTTTAACTTATTTGAATCATTTAATAATAAATAATTGAGTAATAATAATGTTATAAAATAATTAAAGGTGGACATGACAAAAATAAAAATTTTTATTATGAGTAGACGCATGCAATTCGCATAAGTGAAAAGGACAGGTACATGATTGGTATTTAGGTATATAAAAAGAATCTCTATATGTTGAAGTATGTAATGTTTTAAATATGATTGTAAATTGTAAAAAATTTTTAGACTTGAAAATGGCTCAACGAGCCGAAACGTGATTAGATGTGTAGTCATTAAGTTGACAAAATTGGTGTAAACTTGGCTGACAATAAATAAACTTGAAAATAAATAGTATGCACCGAAGAAGAATTGGAGAAATATTGTGACTACTTTATTATCATTAGAATTGGGTTGGCAAATAAGTCCTTTCGGTCGTAGCGCTGTGCCAATGTCACTCTACTTTGACGAGTGAACCAAGATCCCTTGAACACACTATAAATTATTGGTGGATTATTGTCAGTGTTCACTGCACAAATTCTCTTTATTTAGATCGCGATTCACTACTTAAGAATTGTCATTAAACCTATGACCTCATGTCCTACAGTATCCTTTAACAATTATCCCCACTTATCCCAGTTGAACAAATCCGTTACCTTGGACTCCACCTCGACGAACGACTCACATGGAATCCTCATACAATACTGAAACGATAAGAAACCGATCGACGTTTCCGACTACTCCAACACTTGCTAGACAAACGATCTAAGCTTTCAATCAATTACAAACGACTCATATATATGACAATAATAAGACCTATTTGGACTTACGGAGTTGAGCTTTGGGGCTCCACTAAACCATCGAATTCCTCTCGCATCCAATCCTTACAATCCAAAATCCTTCGTAAAATCTTCAACGCTCCTTACTTTGTCACAAACAAAATAATCCATAAAGACCTTAATGTTCCTTATGTATCAGATTTGACCCAATCCAGATACCTTCCATAACAAACTGCAGAACCATCCGAATCCTCTCGTTTCAAACATTACTTCCTCCTCGATCCCTGATAACCCTCCGAGGCGTCTGAAAAGAAGTTGGCCTCAGGAAGAAGACCTTCTAATATAGAACTTTAATTTGAGTTCTACCAATGGGTAGTTTCTCTTCATGTTGTTCATGTTTTCATTAAAAAAAACAAAAAAACTATTAAACATGTTTTGGAGGAGTGCCCTTTTTACACCGCAAAATTTAAAAAATTTCGGAATACCCCAGAAAATATCAGCATCCCTGGAAGAAATCGTTACCAAAGTTATGAAGTTCCCGAACAATAATAGACTTAAAAAACATATATGACAAGTTTATAACTAATGCAGCTTTGCAGATTTATTTTTATTTTTTTTTAATTTTAAAAGTTCATTTATTTATTAATTTTAATTCATTTATTGTTTTTATTGCTATTTTTAAAGTTTATTTATTTATCTATTCTATCTTATTATCTATAAGTGTCTATTATTATCTTTATTTATTTATTTTATTCTATTAATTTGTACCAATCATCTAAACAGTATAAAAGTAGTGTTATTTAGTTGATCGGGCACTGATAACATGGATGTTTTTTACCTAGACATCGAAACAAACAAACTACTTAATAAAACTCCCCATTGGCTGTTTTCAGTTAAAATCGGAGCCTTAATTAGCTTTTCCATTCGCTACGTTTGCTATATAATAAAAACCTCATTACACAGGCGGATGTACGGGGGAGAGGGGCTTTCGGGCTGAATCCCCCTCCAAAATGGTAAAATATAATCATGTTTTACAGAAAAAATATATTTAAAACTATCTCTTGAAGTATTCTTTTAATTGCATTTAATAGAACTTCAAGAACCCTTTAAACACCATTCATATAGGTAGTTAATTTCTTTCTTTTTTTTTCAAATTAATTATCGTTATATGTTTATGAGAGAAAAAATCTTTCGGGCTGAAGCCACCCAAAATGGTAAAATATAATCAGGTTTTACAGAAAAAAAAATATTTAAAACTATCTCTTGAAGTATTCTTTTAATTGCATTTAATAGAACTTCAAGAACCCTTTAAACACCATTTCACATAGGTAGTTAATTTCTTTCTTTTTTTCAAATTAATTATCGTTATATTTTTATGAGAGAAAAAATCTTTCGGGCTGAAGCCCCCCAAAATGGTAAAATATAATCATGTTTTACAGAAAAAAAAAATTTAAAACTATCACTTGAAGTATTCTTTTAATTGCATTTAATAGAACTTCAAGAACCCTTAAAACACCATTTCACATAGGTAGTTAATTTCTTTCTTTTTTTTTTCAAATTAATTATGTTATATGTATATGAAAAAAAATCTTTCGGGCTGAAGGCCCCTTCCCCCCAAAATTAAATCCTGGATCCACCAGTGCCTCATTATAACATCATTGTTCTTTTATCTCAATCTACTTCACATATTTATATTGTTAACTTTCTATCTATATTTATTTCTGCTTTAAAATTTAGTAAGTAGGTATGTTTCTATAGTTTTTTTATAATGATGGACATGAGTACGCATCTTCTCCCTAAAGGTTGATGGCGCATGAA